GTCAGGACAATCTTTTTCCCCCTATACAATGATGAACATCAGTTCAAGTCTAAAATCATGTCAATCATGTTATCTGCTCAATCATTACACCAGATGTTTGACTGTGTGTTATTTTTTGCCCCCAGACACAGAGTTTGCACCTCCCAGATACAGTGCATAGGTGAGGATCCATGCTTTTGGGCCCATTAACACTTGCATATTTTACTGCAATGCACTGTTTTATATGTGGTGCATTTCAGTGCAATTTATTATGATTGCATAGGTGAAGATCCATCTTTAGGGCCCATTAACACTTGCATATTTTACTGCAATGCACTGTTTTATATGTGGTGCATTTCAGTGCCATTCATTATGATTGCATAGGTGAAGATCCATATTTTAGGGCCCATTAACACTTGCATATTTTACTGCAATGCACTGTTTTATATGTGGTGCATTTCAGTGCAATTTATTATGATTGCATAGGTGAAGATCCATATTTTAGGGCCCATTAACACTTGCATATTTTACTGCAATGCACTGTTTTATATGTGGTGCATTTCAGTGCCATTTATTATGATTGCATAGGTGAGGATCCATGCTTTTAGGGCCCATTAACACTTGCATATTTTACTGCAATGCACTGTTTTATATGTGGTGCATTTCAGTGCCATTCATTGTGATTGCATAGGTGAGGATCCATCCTTTAGGGCCCATTAACACTTGCATATTTTACTGCAATGCACTGTTTTATATGTGGTGCATTTCAGTGCCATTCATTATGATTGCATAGGTGAGGATCCATGCTTTAGGGCCCATTAACACTTGCATATTTTACTGCAATGCACTGTTTTATATGTGGTGCATTTCAGTGCCATTTATTATGATTGCATAGGTGAGGATCCATGCTTTAGGGCCCATTAACACTTGCATATTTTACTGCAATGCACTGTTTTATATGTGGTGCATTTCAGTGCCATTCATTTATGATTGCACAGGTGAGGATCCATGCTTTAGGGCCCATTAACACTTGCATATTTTACTGCAATGCACTGTTTTATATGTGGTGCATTTCAGTGCAATTTATTATGATTGCATAGGTGAGGATCCATATTTTAGGGCCCATTAACACTTGCATATTTTACTGCAATGCACTGTTTTATATATGGTGCATTTCAGTGCCATTCATTATGATTGCATAGGTGAGGATCCATGCTTTAGGGCCCATTAACACTTGCATATTTTACTGCAATGCACTGTTTTATATGTGGTGCATTTCAGTGCCCTTCATTATTATTGGCACCCCAATGCACTGTACAGTAGAGGCCAACAACATAATATGATCACTTGAATACAGGCTGAATAAAAAATTCCATTCCTTACTGAAAAATATAATTGAATCTAAAACAAAACAAAAATGCACAATTGAAGCACGTATGACTAGCATCAACCAACAGGTATGATCACATATGTGCGAAGTCATGTCAGGATTTAACATACCTCCCAGACTCAGTATTGAATCCTCATACTCACAAACTTCAAGGTTTGCAAAATTTCACCAGACTTCATTGTATTTAGTAGGGGATAGAGGGATGAAGGCTGTTTTCGCAGTACGAGATGGGGTTCACTGAATGTTGGTACATACCAAATTGCATTGTATTAGTCAAAATTGTGCTGTTGTCTGAAGACAGACGGAAGTCAGCACTACAGGATTTCCTTCCAATGTGTACTATATAACTTTCAATTTTTCTTACTGCAGGGTGAATGTAACGAATACACCTTCCAAGGAGTAAACATGCCATCTGCTATGTGCTTACTGAGAAGTAATGAATATAAATCTTAGGCTGAAGGCAAATTCTGTCTCTTAGTTACATGTCACCAGTGCACAAGTTACCACACTGCATTTCCAGTCATTCATGGGCATAAAAGCAACTTGCTAAAGATCACTGTGTAATGTTTCAGTTTAGAGTTCATCCTATGGATCCTTGACAGACAGCCTTCAGCACTTCAAACTCTATGACACAGCATTTGTCATAAACGTCAAGCCAATTAATAATATAGGAGCTGTTGTTTACTATTACATAAGTAAAGAATTTGTGTCGTGAGAAAATTACATAGGGTAGTATTTACTAATCAGCAGGGCCCCAAAAGAAGGGGTACCTGTACGGGGGCCTGTGTTCCATCAACTCAACAGGGGGGCCAGGACAGCTGGCAAGCAGAAGGAAGTGGAACCTGGACCGAAGGGGGTGATTGTAGCAGGCGTGACATTAACTAGAACTGAACCCCTGCAGTTCCCCCTGCAGCAGCTGAAGGCCAGCTTCTCCTCCTCTTTCACTGGCTTTCAGCTGCTGCAGGGGGAACTATGGGGTATCAGTTCTAGAAAACTCCAACCCTACTGCATCGATCACCCCTCATGTCCAGGTTCCTCTTCCTTCTGCTGCCCCCCCCCCCCCCCCAATACGTGCGTTGCCAGCTTCCCCATCTCTCCCTCCTGCCAGATGCTATGGGGCACAGGGAATCAAGATGGAGAGCGGGGTGGAGCAAGTGAATATGTCATATTTACCAGCCAATTCCTTTTCAGAATGAACCCAGCGAGTGATCAGTACAATTCCCTCTGTGTTTCATTCATAACTAAAGCATAGTAAACTGTTTGTCTACTATACTTTAGTTTGTGAATAAACAGGAAGTTGTGAACTTCCTGTTCATTGATTCTGTGCAGCTGAAGCTGCAGAGATAGAGGTTGAGGACTGTGTTCTCCAATCACTTTCAGAAGTGACACATCAGGGATCTGTATAGACCAGGGGCGGACTGACAACTCATGGGGCCCCTGGGCAATAGGGGATCATGGGGCCCCTGTGTCCTTGCCCAAACTCAAAAAAGCCTATGAAAAAGGTACCAGGGGCATCTCATGGGGCCCCCTACTGACCCCGGGCCCTCGGGCAATGCCGAGTTTCCAAATGGTCAGTCCACCCCTGGTATAGAGACTCAGCTATTTCCCCAAAGCCACCCCCCCTAAACAAGGCTGTTTAGAAATGTAACAACTACTTCAAATAAAATTGTAAAATACAATAAAATAGGGGGGCATAATTAAGGGCTTGTTCACACAAGTTCTCTGGCCCCATACAGTGTGAAATAGCGGTTTGTTTGTGCGGCTGGAGCCACCTATTACTCTATGGGGACTCAGTCGCTGTAAGAACACAGCCACATGTCCTAATCTTACAGGTGTGGGTGACTGGCTCCAAATGCACACTGTCTGTGTTCATGGCCATACACACCTTCACCCACATGCCTGTGGACCTGTGGCTGTGTTTTTACAACTACTGCATCCACATAGTGTAACATAAGTTGCACTGATTCACACTGTACAGGTCACAGTACTCATGTGAATAAGCCCCAATACCTAATTCACACACAGAGCTTTATTTATTAACTCAATACACTTTATCTTTTAGAATTAACAGGAGATTTGTATGTTATGTTATGCTTGTTTCCGCAAATGTATTTTTTTCAGGTACTTATATAGTGCTGTCAATTTATGCAGCGCTTTACACATATATATTGTACATTCACATCAGTCTCTAACCCTCAGGGGGTGTACAATCTAAGGTCCCTAACTTACATTCATACATACACATATTAGGGCCAATTTAGACAGGATCCAATTAACCTACCAGCATGTCTTTGGATTGTGGGAAGAAATTAGAGTACCCGGAGGAAACCCACGCAGGCACAGGGAGAACATGCAAACTCCAGGCAGGTGGTGCCGTGGCTGGGATTTGAACCAACGACCCTAGTACTGCCAGGTGGAAAATAATGATAATAATAATATGCCCTGTGATTTCTAACAGCGGCCCTGCTGATCAGTAAAGTCAGGAATCTTTTTCGCAAATAGACTCACTTTATTTATTAGAAACACTACAGTACAGTACGTTATGACCATAAAGGGATGCAGGGATACACATGGTTTGCAACAATGCTCAGCCTGTTGAATGCAGTTGGTATTGTGAAGGTTAGTATAAAGGTACCTGCAGACTTTTCTGGTTTTGTCTCACTGGGCCCCCAGCCCCCTAATGTTCCAGAGAATACTTGTGCCTCTAACTAAACTTTATACTAATTACCCTTATGTTAGGTCCTGCTTTTTATTAATTTACAAATGAATGGTACAATTGCAGCCTTCAGTCATATATTAGTGTTGTGGAAAGAGCAAAATTCTTTTGCCTCTAACCAAACTTCATTCCTAGTCAGGGGATGGTTTGCAATCCTCTTTCTCACAGCTTCCCCAGCTTCTTGGTCTTAGTTCATACATTATTGTTATGTGCATATTAAATTATTGTGCACAATACTTTGCCTCTATTGTTACATGCGGATCAAATTATTGCACACAGTACTTTGCCCCTAACCAAACTTAATTGCTAATCAGGGGAGTTTCTCCAGCCCCTTTCTCATAAAGACCACGTTCATAAAGCAGTGTTATATGTAATCGAATACTGTCTTTGATCTGCACATAATTTGAGTCCTAGAAAACCTAAATAAAAATTAAACTCCTGTTAACCCTAATTAGTTTTTTTTAATCATAAATCCCCCTCTTCCCTAGCCTATTTATTTTGCTTTTCTTTTTTTTTTTTCTACTTGTATCATTCATATGCAGACATTTTTAATTTTTATTGTATATGTAGTGCCACATTTAAAAAAAACTGCCTTGATACAAAAATTTAATTCTAGATCATTTATAAAATGGACAGTTAGAATAAATGTGGACTTTGGATTTTAGAAGCTACCCTATATTTTTTCCCCGGGACTGCTACTAAGTGACTGTTTAAAAAACGCAAGTAAAAGAAGCAATTGAAGTTAGGCTTGTTTGATAAATATGTCATACTTAGCATGTGTTGTAATTCAATTAGACATCTAATTAGAAATCAGTCTTGATTCTGGAATTTTACCATTATAAATGCATATTACAATAATTATTATAACAGTACAGGTAATCAAATAAAATTACAAGGTCACATGTAACACAGTACCTGGGACTGCGCATTGATATTGGCTCCTTGCTTGACCAGAGTCTTCACCACTTCTACCTGCCCAGCCAGAGAAGCAATGTGCAGCGCAGTGTTCCCTTTCTGTAAAGATATAAAACACTATTATCACAGTTCCTATGTTTTATATAATAAATAAAGAAAAATGTGTTTTTACTGATATTTATATTATATTATTTATTATATTAGATACGATAAGATAGATAGAAAAATAGAAAAGCCATTATGTAATTTAATGGTCTTAAAACAGATTGTTATATATCTATCTTAAGCCAGCCTTCATTTTCAAAAAATTACCAACACAAAAACAATTTTTCCTTACAACCATTGTATCGCAACAGAACGTGGACAGGATTCTCCGAAATGCTTATGTACCTGCTTATGAATTCGTTTACTACATTTACTATACGTTTACAAAAAAAACTGAGAACAAATAACAGGCATCATTTAGATCATTTAGAATAATGCAGTACATCAGGGATTCCAAGAATATTTCATGGCCTCTGGTTTATTCCTGGCACTAGTCAAGTAACTAAAGCAGATAGAAACACAGCACTCAAAATTGGGCAAATGCAATGCAATAATAGACTATCTCAATAACTGCAGCTCTAATAACATTTGATATAAACCTTGCAGTGCCTATAGTTTGGAGGAGATTATCATTTATTCAGTTCCACAGTTTTCACTTTAATAATAATGCTATGCTTTGCTGTCTAACCCTCACTAGCTGTATTCAGGCTTTACCCTACATTTATGACCATAGGCTGCCTGCTCTTCCACCACACAGGGAGAAGGGCAGTCAGCAGCAAATGAAGGAGGGGGGGGGGATCCAATAGCCAGGTGACAGAGCAGGCAGCAGCAAAAATTAAATGTATAGTCCAATGACCATAGGCTGTTCCCCTTCCCCCAAAAACATAAATACTCTGACAGGCAAGCCTAAAAGGTAAAGGTGCTGCTACATGAAGGCAGCAGCTGGCAGGCCTTGCTAATGTGAGATATTCCTCCTTTCCCCTACCTTCTACCAATACCACACCTCCCATTCTGTCTTCACCTCTTCTTCTACCTCCTTCTCCTCCTACCCTTCCTCCCTCACTCCTCTATCACCTCCTGCTATCTGATGATGACATAATGAGAATCTCTGGAAAGCTAGCGGATTCATCACAATGAAAACTGTGGAAAACTCCAGCTTCTCCAGTTGTTGGGACTGAATGGTCCCACATTACACTTTTTTATCCGAAATCACAACATTTTTTCTTACAAATATATAACAGATTTGCTTTTTACAGTTTTTTTCCCCCAAAAGGCTGTTGCTGCCCTGGTCAAACAAAAATGGGTAGGGACTGCTATGCAGTTGTAATAAATCAATTCCCCTGTACATACAGTGCTCCGCATAAATGAGATGTTATTCAATATCTCAATGAACACAAGAACAATTTCCAAAATGTTGTCAAAACTGAGTTTTATAGAACATTTATTTAGCTCATTACATGATAGTAAGGTTAATAATATAACTTAGATTACAAAATCTTCAGTTTTACTCAAATTAGTTGATGCAAAAATGAATACACCCCACAACAAAAACTACTACATTTAGTATTTTGTATGACCTCCATGATTTGTAAGGACAGCATCAAGTCTTCTAGGCATGGAATGAACAAGTTTGCTATGTATTGCAACATCTATCGTTTTCCATTATTCAAGAACGACCTCTTTTAGAGCCTGGATGCTGGATGGAGAATGATGCTCAACTTGTCTCTTCAGAATTTCCCATAGGTGTTCGACTGGTTTCAGATCAGGAACTTGACCACTGAATCACTTTCACCCTGCTTTTCTTCAGGGTGTGTTTTGGATCATTGTCATGCTGGAAAAGTGCACAACAACCAAGGGCACAGAGGGATGGTAGCATCTTCTCTTTCAACATAGAGCAGTACATCTCTGAATTTATGATACCATCAATGAAATGCAGCTCCCCGACACCAGCAGCACATGCAGCCCCACCCTACGTGTTACGTCATGACATGTGACTTCATCAGGAGTACATTCCTGATGAAGTCACATGTCAAGACATAACGCGTAGGGTGCGCCGATGATGTCAAGCCGTAGAGCCGGAAGTGCATGTACCTCCATCTTCAATAAGGGATCTATGCAGTTCATTCATGAAATACAGTATATAGAGAGCCCTTGATCCTGTAGTGTCCCAGGTGGACACAAATGAATGTGAGTGCAATATTTTACAGTGTTTTAATACATTTTTACACATTTTGATATACTTCACCATTTGGAGCATTGTTTTCATTTATCTGTGGAGCATTTTGGAGTTTAGAGGTGCAGAAGGAGTTGGAGATCTGTGTACCAGCATACCCACCCAGGTTAAAGGGAAAGGCGTGGTTTGACCTGACTTTTTGGGTCAATCCATAAGGTGAGCGCATAGGTGTGTCGGAGGTGGATAAAGCACTGGGGGGGTCACACACAAGCACTAGATGAATGTACGCAGTGAAGTGATTGCACATATGCACTCGGAGCACAGAGGTCTTAAAGGGACAGTTCACCAGGATTGTGTTATTATATTATTCGGACACTTGTTGGTGATATTAGATGCACAGCAGACATGTTGCAACAGCACAAGTGAAGTACGGGAAGCAACAAAGGAATGGTGCATCATTGAGATTTTTGAATGTAGCACAGTTTATGCACAGATATGGGTATTTAATTTCATATTACTGTCACACAGCAAGATTTATGTTTCATTATTCACATTTGCATGTTTATATTATTTAGCAATATTTGTGAGTTACTATTATTGTGCTGCATTCTTTTGGTTATTATTTATATGTGGGAACACTATACATGTTAGCTGCAATATTTGGTAGATAGGTTATCCATTGCGCTGTAGGTTTTTCACATACTATTTTGTAGTATAGTGCCCATTGAAAATGTTGATTCTGAAAGGAAAGTTAAGGTTTTCTGACAAATCTGTTGGGGTGCACTTATTTATGCCACATATTATTTATTTGCCTTAATCTCATCTGACTCATAAATTTTACTTGGCTGTTTTTTCACATTATGCAACCACTTAGCTTGCCTATCCCTAAAAATGTCCCTCCTGCCATAAGAAATCTGTTTTATAACAAATTCTCTATGAAACCTAACCAATTCCTATTTCTAAAAGTTTCAAGAAACACAGCACTTCAAGTGTTCTACAGGCTCAAGGTGTCACCTTCATGCATTCTATGCAGGCATGAAGATAAAAAACCTTCTGAGTGCAGCACCCCCAATCCGTATCTGAACCAACCCTGATCCGTGATGTGAACTGGAGCATCAGCTGTATGGGGACTCTCCCTCCTCATTGACTGAGACAGCAGCGAGAGTCCATTGGCTCCCGCTGTTGTCAATCACAGTTGGTGAGCCAATAAGGAGGGAAAGGATGGGGGCAGGGCACAATCCCCACTGCTGAATCAAAAATGCCTTCCATTCATTGAGAAAAATGCAAGGCATTCTATGAAAAATGAAAAATGCCCACGCCAAGCAAGCAACCTCCTTTAGTTACTAAGCATCAGAGCTGCTGCTCAGCACAGTCCTCGGAAGACAGCAACGATCACTGTAGTAGTGGCGACTACTACAGTGATTCTCAGTTTCCACACCAGTCCCACAGGTAGAACCAATGTAACTATACAATGAAATCCATACCTGAAATTAAGCTTTAAATCAAATGAAACCACAGGCTCTGTTATGTGAAAGGCTGGGAGGAGAGAGAGACGTGGAGAGAAGTGACTGTAGTGCTGAGGTCTATGAGACACTCAAGCAGGCATGGAAGTAAAGCTGGAGCTGTACATCCATTTGTGTGTAAACAAAAAGATTTATGGCTTTTGAATAACAGCACTGTCAACTGCTTTAACACAAGTAAATGCAACGCCTAGAGATACACCTACAAATAAAATATATTGGGGTTGATATACTAAAGGAAAATAGACTGTGCGCTCTGCAAAGTGCAGTTGCACTCTGCAAGAGCATTTGCTCCAGAGTTTAGTAAATGAGGAGAAGCTCTGCTGACTTCCATCATCAAAATCATATACAAGAAAAAATGCTGTTTTTTTTAATTTTCCTTGTGATTGGGTATTCTTTGCAAAGTGAAGCGTCACCTCATTTACTAAGATCTGGAGAAATGCCACTTGCAGAATGCAACTGTACTGGAAAAGTGAACAGTCTATTTGCCTTTAGTAAATCAACCCCATTGCATCACACCTCAGCCCTCATCCATCAGTGTCCCATTCTATTTACATTAAAAAAATATATTTACATAAAAAACTGCTTCTTCTATAAATTTTTCTTTTTTCAAGTTTTAGATTTTTTTTACTTTTATCTGTACCTTAGTTGCAGAATCCACTGAAGAACCTCTTTCCAGCAATTCATTAACAAGATAAAGATGTCCTTCTTTGGCAGCAAGATGCAAAGCATTGAGTCCATTCTGAAACAAAGAAAAAAACACAATCTAGTTAATGCTGAGAAAAAGATGTGTTTTTGTTTACAGTCAGCTCAGTAGGGGCAAAGTAGATGGGTTATTAAAATGTAAACAGTTGGCTACATATTTTAGTCGAGGTGATATAACCATCCAATAGCCCAAGAGTCAAGCTAAAATATATAGTATATATATCATGCGTAATGTGACTGTACCATTCTGATTACACTGTCTAACATATATGCCCTCTAGTGGCTACAAATCAGAATACGAATTATAATTACCATAAAAATGACAGACAGCAGCATGTAAAGTTTGCATAATTATAAAAGAATTTCATTTTAAGTAAAGAATGGATTACCAATAATCACACACACAAACTACATAGTTATTTATGGTACTAACAAAAAAAAAATGTTGCTTTTGAAATTTATCATTGACACTTACAACAGTATCAAACTCCCCCCAAAAAATGGCGTTTATAAAATGAGTTTATATAATAAAATAACTAATGTTAAGGAGTGGAAACTGCATTTATTTTACGGCATACTCCTCTGCTACATTTATAGACTTATTCCAGCATTTAACTAATGCCTGGAAATCTTTGACATAGAAAGATACAGTATATCAGTACGCCTAAACCATCCTAGGACAACCTGCTTTACTTCATCATTGTGTTCACCATTCCTACAGAAAGATTTGGCTCTTGTGCAATTGCACAACAGGTTATGCGGCAATTATCCAGGATCAGGCATTTCACGCGCTAAATGTTCACAGGAATGCCTGCTGTGGGCTGGGGACCACCAGGGCCAGGACTGCCACTGATGGACATATGGCCATCTTTGAAACATTTACACCATTCAAATGTCTTACTGTGGCTGAGCGTCTCATCACCAAACTGTGCTTGAAGTCTTCTTTCTGTAGATATGCGTGGGTTTTACATTTTTTTCTTTCAGACGCAGAGGCTAGCCTATGTGTCCATGCGCATTTGGGCATTTGCAGGCATATTTGTAGAGTAGCGTATACAGGTTGAAAAAAAAAATCGCAATTGTGTATTTACGAGGAGATTTTGGGCAGAAAAAACACTTGACCTGCCTAAATGCACGGAAACGCACCTAAATGCAGTGTTTAGGCATGTCAAGCATTTTTAATTGTAACTTTTTTCTAATGATTTTGGGAAAAAACACTTATAAAACACAAACGTACCTAAATGCGCCTAAACATTTGTTGTACAATATGCTCCATAAGAGTGTTTTTTTATGCTGCTTTTTTCTGCCAGCAGTTCTGGCATTTTCTTTGCTGCCTAGTGTGCATGGACCTTTCAGATGTTTCCATTCCACTGGAGGAGCAACAGACACACCTCTGGACAGCAGCATTGCCAGTCTGGGGAAAGGATAGTGTTAGAGCAGATTTAGCAGATTTGGATGGACTTAACTAACAAATTAAAACTGAATTCCAGCTCATACTTTTCAAGCAGTTACAGCAACAGCTATTTCTCCTTTTGGGATTTTGGAATAATTTTTACATAAATAAAAGCTGACCATTGTAAGCACCATACTCAGCAGCAGAGCAGGCATAACAGTCCCTGGGCCCCCATTCTTAGGTAAGGATCACCAGCATAGTATATATCCTTCTCTTAGTATATTCATTAAATAATAAATCTATAGTATATTTATTAAATAAACTACAAATACCCCATACTGTATATACTTATGAATAATCCTAAAATGTATCATAGGGAGTTTAATACTGTACTAGTGGAATGGAGTGCTAAAAGAACACGGGTCAGGGGGTGCAAATTACTTGCCTTGTTTGGAGTGCTGACAACCCATGCTACGCCACTGCTCTTGTAACTTCCTTTGCACAGAACAGAAATCTCAAACAAGGTTATCTGCCTTTTCAACTATCTTTTTATTGACTACAGAGAAATGGGGGGGTTCTCGGTAGTTCTGACACCCTCCCTTTGACCTAAGGTGACCACACTGCTTCTCCAAGGATACAATACAGAGAGTAAGCATTGTCATCCCAACCACAGCACCACCTGCCTGGAGTTTGCATGTTCTCCCTGTGCCTCCGTGGGTTTCTTCCGGGTACTCTGGTTTCCTCCCACACTCCAAAGAAATGCTGGTAGGTTAATTGGCTCCTGTCTAAATTGGCCCTAGTATGTGTATGTATGAATGCGAGTTAGGGACCTTAGATTGTACTCCCCTCGAGGGTTAGGGACTGATGTGAACGTACAATATATTTATGTAAAGCGCTGCATAAATTGACGGCGCTATTCAAGTACCTGAAATAAATTAATTAATTGTCACACTATTACAGAAAGTTTGCTACTGGCAGGTTCACCAGATGAAAAGAAAAGAAAAAAAGAAACTATTGCAGTCACCACATCCAAGGGTCCACATATGACTGTGTCTCTTAATCACTACTATATTCCACACTAAAAACCTTCATTGACTGGTTCTAAACTATTGCCCATGCAGCATATTGTATATTAAAATACAATGGATCAGCAAAAGGAATTATCCCTTTCATTCTACATTTAGGATGAATATGGATTTTATAGCAAAGTAAAATGTATTTATGAAATTGTTGATGATACTATAAAACATTTTGCCACCGCTGCAAATACAGAGAGGCTGTGCTTAAACAAGCAATTAGAAAAATGCCTAAAACAAGGTAATTAATGCAACTGAAAGCACCGAAGGTTTTAGAAGAAGCGGGAAGTACTATTAATGTCATTACTCAGTGATCTTCCGTCTGCCCCCAGAGGCTCAGAATAGCACTTAATGAATGAATATTTTTAGCATCTGCAGTAAATTCCACATGATGTTTCTCTCTGAGCAACAAAAAAGTTGAAGTACAAACTGACAAGTCTTAAAAAAACATCAATGCATGACTTCCTGATCTAGACATTTGTTTGAAATCATTTACATATCAAAGGAAACCTTCCCTAAAATAAAAATGTGGGCTGCCACTCCTAACCATCTCCTAAAATGCTATTTGCTTGGCTGTAATGCCAATCCAGTAGCTCCAAAAGTGTACAGTCACTGTTTTGAAACAATAGTATGAGTCAGTTATGGCTTTATACTGCATGCCTCAAGTCGCTAGAGAGAGATGAAGCGTCACACCAAATCGTAAGCAGTATAAAATGATTTACTGCGGGTTATTTACTAAAACTGCATGGTGCAAAATGTGGTGCAGCTCTATACAGAACCCAATCAGCTTCCAGGTTTTATTGTCAAAGCTTAATTGAACAAGCTGAAGTTAGAAGCTGATTGGCTATCATGCGCAGCTATACGAGATTCTGAGTGCTCCAGTCAGTTTTAGTAAATCTCCCCGACTGCATTTTCAACGGAGTGTTCCTAATTCAGATCCAACACAGTTCAGAAGCTTCAGGAGTCATTAGGGCTACATAAAAGATATATAAAATAAGTAGATATACTATATATAGAGTTTATATCTTTTATGCAAACCTGATAAAGGAGGAGCCTAGGAGCCCCTGAAACAAGTTGGATTTAGCTGTGCTTTTTAAAATGTGTTTTTTTTTTTTGTCATACATCATTGATATTACAGATGTCCATATGATCACTATCCTTAACTAAAAGAAAGTTTTTTTGGCATGATCAGTCATATTATCAATACCAATGTTGAAACTTCACGATTTCTGCCAGGGTATGCTAACGTTTGAGCACAACTGTACATGTAGATGGGCATAAGCGTCCTATGTCTGTGATCCTGGTCTTACATGATAAAACTTCACTTCAATAACCTTTAAAATCTGGACATTATTATAGCACATGTATTGCATTTGGGCGATCAGTGGAAAATTGAGGACAGGATGTAATACAATCAGGGTAGGGGATTAGAAAAAAAAATAATAAATGATTGGTAGACTGAAAATCCTTTTCATCTCTAGGATTTACAAGGATGTAAAGGACAAATGGCTGCAAATAAACAGGTACAACCTATGCAGGAGGATTATTTTCACCTCTGTGTATTACCTGAGGTTTGTCACTTCACTGGTTCCCCTAATGTAAAAGGTTTTTTTTTTTTGCAAGGAGCAGTACCAATTTATGACAGACTCCCACTTAAGCTCAGTTTGCCTAGATGAGCATAGCGGAAGTTCAGCCTTTCCGCCCACAACTGCCTGGGACACATCAGATATTCCAGAAGACTGCGGGAATTATTCAGAAAAGACAGTGTGCCTTGTGCATGCACAGTGGGAAGCTGGCTGTGAAACACCAGGAAGACACAGCTGGCTTTCCACAAGCAAGATGGCAATCCCAGAAACCCAAAAATCTGCGAAAAACTGGCCAGTTGTGAAGGCAGCGCTGGATTCCTGGGCTGGTAAGTTTATCAAGGTTAAAAGTCAGCAGCTAGAGGAGTCTGCGAGACCATTCAGAAAAAGCTTTTCACTTTGTGCATGCACAGTGAAAAGCTGGCTGTAAAACACCAGTCACAGTTGGTTTCCCACAAACAAGATGGCGGCCCTGGCGACCCAAAGACCGGCCCATGTGATGGCAGTGCTGGATCCCTAGGCTGATAAGTTTCTGTATATTAAAAGTCAACAGCTACAGTATTTGTAGCTGTTGACTTTTATTTTTTTCTAAACCTGACCAGAACTCCTTTTTAATGAATGGTGGGTGGAGGTTTTTCTGCTGATTGATATCAATACAGGAATTTACGTTCTGCAGAACCTTTACTGTCTGCTGGATGTTGGCTGACAGGGACAGGGAGGACTGATCCTTTAAAGGGAGATTGTCCTGGTACCACACAATGTGAATCCCCTGACAAATCCGGGACAAGCATCTTGGTGAGAACCCAGAGGAAAGGGGGGGAGGGGTGCTCCATCAAGAGGAAAGGGTGACAAACTAGTAATTCTGAACACCCATCGCAAAACAGAGATAGTGTTGAAGAGGAAGAAATATAAGAATATTGCATATAGGCATCCCAGATGTCTATTAAAGCCAGAAAAATCCAATCCAGAGAACTTCAAGTACAAAAAA